TATATATATATATATATATATATATATATATATATATATATATATATATATATCTTTATTGGCGAGGAGTGTGATAGAAGAATGAGTCGGATCCTAATTCCTGTGCTAGTGAACGAAATTTCTTGAAATTGCTAATCACCGTTAAATAAAAGATTTTACATCTTGCGCATCCTAGGAAATGTCGCAGGCATCTAAGGGAGAAAATTCTGAAACAATATTTAATGAGGGAGGATTAGCAGATAAAGTGGATGGTGAAGATAAGTTGGATAGCTATTTCTGTGTTAATTGAACTTCTTGAAATAAGTTTCTGTGTGAAAAATTATATATATTGCTTGCTGTGAATTTCGCCATCAAATTACACAAAACAGCTAAAAAGTTAACTTACTTGCATTCGTCACTGGGTACCCATAGGTCAGCGGACCCAGTGTCGGGGATCACGACAAATTGTTGCTGTGGTGTTCCAATAGTAATGTTTGAAACATACTCGATATCACCGTAGTCTAACACCTTAAGAAAATCTGAATCACGCGCAAGCTAAGCCTTTTTTTCAACAGGAACGCAAATTTTTTTCCAGAATATATGAAACTTAGCAACTCATTGAGCAATCTTCTCACCCTACTTGGAGCAACACTTGGAGGCAACGCTCGTAATGAATTCATTCGTGCAAGGTAACTTTCGTAATCCCCGCGTTGTATCATTTCGATCTAAACATAATCTAATTTCGTATTCAAAAAAGCCGAATTATTCCAAACTTACTCTCTTGGATAGCTGCTTTTGTAGTGGCTGTCTGATGATCAGAGCCGCAGCTAACTCAATGAGGAACAAGAAAATTCCAAGCATTCAGCAGTTGTTAGTTCCTGAACCCGCTTCCAGCATTTAAGAAAATTTAATCAAAGCATATTTTTAATTTATGGAAAAAAATCTTTTCCTCATAGGACATGTAGAGCTAAAACAACATCGGCAATAACCGAGGAGCAACGCAACATTACTCCATCTAAGGATGGCCTTTATGTCAATAAAAATCAAAGCGGATTAATTTTTTTTACAGCCTTCACTTAGATGTTTTGCACTTGACTGTCAAAAATAGATAGAGAGTTGATGACGAAGTTCATATCAAAAATTAGTTATCTTTAGCGTTATGTGTGCTGCACACACAACGCTTTTTTCGCATCGTAAAAACATTTGATTGGGGCGCCTTCAATAATTTGTTTGACTGTCGCTGTTAAGCCGTTCAACTACTGTTTTCGTCCTGATCATCTACTTTGAAGTACAGGATGTCTCAATACTCTTTGCTAATAATTCATCTCTTTTAGTTTCCCAGAGCCATCATTACTTATAATAAAGCGCTAATGTGTCTGTATGTGTGTGTGTGTGTGTTTCTTTGTCTGTCACGAAATTAGTTCATTTGTCCTAAGAAAGTCAAAGAGCAGTTAT